TGGCCGGGGGACGACGGAGGGCGAGTGAAACAATTGAAAAGGAGCGCGCGCGCTCTGTCGCTGCTGCTGGCCGCCCGACGCCGACGCTCGACGCAGCGCCAACCAAAACAACAAACCACAATTCACTTACACAACGCCGCAGTCACCGTCACCGTCGCTGCTGTCTGGTTGCTGCTGCTGCGCTGCTTTGGCTCCTGTTCCTGGCGCTGCCTCTGCCGCTGCCTCTGCGCGGTTACTGTTACTTTTACTCCTGCTGCTGCTGGCTGCTTGCTGCGCAGTCGGCATTGAGGTGTTTTTTAAAAAATGGCTCTCGCAGCAGGGGAACTTTTTTGTTGGAGTTGGACGTGGGAGCATTTCCCCTGCGCCATTGGAATTTCCATGGCTGTTGCTGTTGCTTTCTCCTCTCTGCTGCCACGAGTTTTTCCTTCGATTTTTTTTTGTGTGTGTTCTTTTGGAAAATCCATCAGTGTTGCCTCGTTAGCGGCAGCGTTCGGTTGCTCGCACTCCTGAGCGGAGCAGGAAGGCGGAGCCAACGGATCATTCACTCTTTCTCTCTCCCTCTCTCTCACGCACATCCATCGATCACGCCGCTCTCTCACTCTCTTTACGCTCGAATGCGGCCACACGCTGCTCTATTAATAAATCAACCCCAATATCACGCAGTGGTGGAGGCGATCCCACCATTGGTTGGCGGAGCACACGCGATCTTGTGTGTGTTCTCTCTCTCTTGGATTGGATTGGGGTGGGATCAAGATCAAGAATGTTCTCTCTGTTTCATTACGGATTGCAGAGGGATCTTTCTCACTCTCTCCCTCTCTTTCTGGCTTTGTATGTAGGGGAGGATCGCCCCTGCCTGGAGGTAGGGCTCTAGCTCTTGTATGACCTGTGGGGGATGAGGTTTTATTTGGGTCAGGCCATTCCCCAATACGATCTGCCATGCGGTAAATACAAAATTAATCTTTCTGGGGTTTCATGGTGAATGATCCTCAGTTCTGTGCAGAACATTAACGAGATCAACATAATTCGTGTTTGAGAACTTTTCGTCAGGTTTTTATATAAAAAGGAATTCCTCAAAGTGATCCTTAAATGTTTGGGTAGATCAGAGATACTTGAGATACTTTAACAATTTTATAATTGAAGGTACGATTTGTAGATGGAAATTCTTGGCATTTCTTCTGTGTCTCTTTTTCCCCAGAATATTTTATAGTTATAAATATTTATTTTTTAATGATTCCAGATCTCATTTAATGCTTTAAGTATCTGTCCATCCACCGGCTTGGCTTCTTCCTTCAGTAGTAGTTCTCATCGGATCCCAGATCCTTTGGATCGCTTCAATTAAAGTCCAATAAAACGCGACCATAAACGACTGCTCTGCTAATCCGTTCGCGGTGATCCCTGAAGCTACCCCGCCTAATCCCGAATACAAATACGAAACAACAAAAAAAAACGCGAAATATTACCAAAAACAGGTAGCAAAATATTGGATATTTTTTTGTGCGCGCGGATCGGCACGGGTTTACGATGGCGGGGCGGCGGCTAATCGGCCAAAATATTTGCGGGGCGTGCTGGCTAATCCCGGCGATTGACTTTCGTAAGTAAAGGATTACGTGGAGGTCGCGAGATTGCGATTTGGTGTGGTTTCCATTTGCATACCTGCTGCCAGGTAATACCCGCCCACAGTTTTTCCGATCTCTTGCATTTTTTTTTTTTGCTTTAGTGTGGGGAGTGCAAAAAATCCATAAAAAAAAAGGGTGCGTACAGGGCTCCGGCTCCTGGTACAGCTGCGTGTGATGGCAGGACAGAGACAGAGGCCGTTAAGTGGCAGGGCAGGGCAGGTAGGCACAATCGCAATCGCAATCGCGACACGATCCTTCCTCCTGTCGCGATGGACGCGCGCGCTGAGCAGCTTCTGTCGATCGTCGATCGATCAGCGGGCGCTGAATGGGCCCACGAAAAATTGTGGAAAAACGAGGAAAAACGCAGCGGGTGGGGACCCAGCACCACGGACATGCTACAAGGAACCCAGACCCAGGCTGGCTGCCCAGTTTCGCTAGAAAATTCGCGCTCTGACAGCGTGTCCTTGTCGCACGCTAAACGCTGAACGTAGCTGAAGCTGGCTGAAGAGTAAAGGTAAAGTAAACCTGTGGCAAAGTCCGAGTCCCGTCGCTCACAGCGAGCGGGCGCGCACGTACAAAAGCAGAGAAGTCGACGCCGCTGTTGCCGGGAAGGGCAGCAGCGATTTATTGGAAGTGTGCTGACAGAGAGAAACAGCAAGAGAGCGGCGGCAGTGGGTGTGGGAGTGAGAAGGAAAGACTGAGAGCGACATCGCGACATTTTGGTTGGCTCCGAAGCCGCAGCATCTTGACTCGTGGCTGCCCGCCCCCCCCAAAACACCACACCAGAGGAGCAACAGAGCACCCACCCACCTGCCTACCTCCCTCCCTCCCACCACACTGCCAACAGAGTGCGATTCCTCATTGTGGTTGTACCGCGTTGGCCTCGTTTCAACGTTCTTTTGGGGCTCCACAGATATTTTTTGTGGAATGTCCAGGCATTTGATTTGTCCGGCCCAGCAGAGGCGACAGAGGCGTAGCGTTACCAGAAGGGGATTCCATGTATGTATGACACTTCCGCTGAGCAACTGGGTATCGAATGGAATCGGATGCAATCACAGATCACAGATCACAGATGACAGATCAGTTGAGCTCTCGATCCTAAGCTGAACATGATCCAATCAACGATCTGCCAACGAGAGGCCAAGCGCAGGCCCACATTGCGCCATTGAAGAACACAAATATTTACATGTCTAATCGCCAGCTAATCGCCCCCGATCAGCATTAGGATTAGGGCAAGCTGCCAGGCCAGGGCTTGTATCTGCACAGCAGATCGTTTAACGTAAATTTAGATAGTATTGAGCAACGCATTGCCACGACAATGGGTGTTAGTTGGATAGCTGCAGATCGGATAGCTCTGCGCGCAGATACCCCGCAGATCGAAACTAAGGATCTGCTCATAGCATTTGAATAAAGTAAAAATTGCACCGAATTATGCAGGAAAAGATTGCACAACAATGGAAGGTGTTGGCCCGGTAATTTGATCTGGCCAGCAAGTGAACAAGATTTTAAAATAAACAACTCATTTGGCAACGGTTCAGCAAAGACAATAAAGGATCAGTTAACAAAACATAATTTTGAATGCAAAAACATTTGAATTAAATATTTAAGTCGAATTTAAAATATTTTTAAAAGTGATCGACTGCAGCTGATCAGAAGAGCGGAAAAATCTTCCCCGATACGTGAATTAATGATTATAAAATATGAAAATCTTTTTCAAAAAATATATATAACAATAGATAAAGATCATTGTAAAAATAATCGGATCAAAGGTGGTTAAAAAAAATAAATATAACGCTAGAAAATAAATGTTGCATACAAAAATTGGCTAATTAAATTTCATAGATAAATAAACGTTCGTGGAACTTGAATATATAATGCAAGATAAATTCCCGGATCAAGCGGAGTCCCTCTTAATATTTTGGATCATATGTCGAACGCTTGTAAATCATTTCCCTTCCACATGATCAACAGCTGATGATAGATCTGCATTTCCACTCGAGTATTTCGGATCTACATAGACGGGTGTGTGCCCTCTAATTGAGTCCTTAGGACGCTCCTGGCAGACTCCGGGGGCCCCCTCCCTGCCAGATAGACACCGATGTGTGTGTGCTACCTGTGCCCATAGGCCCCCCCCCGCGCCCGTCGAACAGGGCCCCTGGACACCGCCCCGACGGGTGGTGGCAGCAACACGCGCGCAGTAGGAACTGTTGCATGTTGGGCAAGGAACAGAACCGGACTGAGCAGCGTGCTCCTTTTGGCCGTGGCATGGCGTGGCGTGCGTAAAGGAAAAACGAAGGAAAAACTGTTTCCAGCCAGACCAGACCAGACCGCCCGTTGCCGGAAAGAGACACACAAATCAAACAGACAGCGAGAGGCCAAAGAGAGACAGAGACACAGATATTGGATGGCAAGAGAGCGCACAACAATTTTCTCCTGATTTTTTTTTGCATCTTTTTTTTTTTTTTTTTTTTTTTTTTGTTGAGTTTTTCTTCGGTTGATTTTTATTTTCCCGGCATTTCTTTGTTGCGTTTTTGTTTTCTTTTTGCCTTTCCCTTCCAGTCTGTGCTCGCTCTCTCTCTCGCTCTGGCTCTCGGAGTGAGAGAATGAGCGCATTTGCCTCTCTTTCTCGCTCTCACTCGCACACCCTCTCGCTTGCAGATTTTTATTTTGCTTCCAATGTGGTTGTTGCTTTGCCTTTTTCATTTTTCTTTTTTCTTTTTTTTTTTTATTTGGCCGCGCGCCCCTGGCCACAAGTAACAAGCGGCAGTGGCAGTGGCAGTGGCAGCGTCAGCAGCAGAGGCAGTGGCAGTGGCAGCAACAGCAAAGCCTCAGACATCTCCTTCCTCCACTATGTATGGGTGTGCGTTAGTGTGTGTGTGTGTGTGCGCGAGTTGTATACCGCAATGGAAAAATGGGAAAATTTTTACTGTGGTTGTTGTTGCGGCAATGGTGGTTGCTTGATACCTGCCCCTTTTGTCTCCAGACTGCCGCCGCGCCCTTGCACCCTTAGTCCGTGTATCTGGTGTATACGTATGTGTCTGTGTGTGTGTGTGTGTGTATAGCTGTGGGCCAGCGTGTTGCTGTGTGTATAGGTAAGCGAGCGAACCAACCAAAGCACACGGGCCAGGACAATGCCAGCGTGTGCGAAAGAGCAGTTCAGAACGGGAAGGACGGAGCGGCGCGGCGCGGCGCGACGGAGGTAGTGCAAGTGAGAGGGTGCGATAGGTAGAAAGAGAGCGAGCGTAAGTGAGTGAGTGAGAGCGAGAGAGAGCGCGAGAGCTGCGTGGCAGAGGGCAGCGCTGCCAACGGCGACAAGCGCATTCCACTTTAAATACTGGCAACGATCGCAGCAGAGAATCAGTTCACTCAGCGACTTTACCGTGTCGAGAACGTCCCAGCGAGACAGTCTTGAGAAAAAGCGAGAATCGAGAGCAAGAGATTCGAGGGATTTATACACCAAACACAACACAACAAACACATACACGCCGCGTCTTAGTTTTGTTTTTTTTTTTGTGCCTTGAGACAACACAAAAATTTTCTTAAATCCAAAAAAAATTACCCGAAAAATACGAACGAAAACGACAAAATATTTTTTTTGCCAGTGAAAAACGGTTTTTGCGAGAGCGGGCAGCATTGCCAGCTCGCAAAGAAAAGTGCAGTGCGACCAGTCCACACAAGGATTAACAACATTGGATTACAACCGCAACAAGCAGCAGCAGGAGCAGCAACAACAGCAGCAACATATATATTTTTTTTGTTGGAGAAACAACCGATTGAAAGATACAAAACAGCATCAAGATGCATCTACCCAATGGTCCCACAATGGTAGCCAACAGCACCGCTGTGGCGCACACACAAGTGCTGGCTGCAGCTGCCGCAGCGGCCGCAGCAGCGGCTGTGGTCAACTCCGGTACGAGCGGCTCCACAACGACGATGATGGCGATGGCACAGAGCAGCCAATCGCTGGCCAATACCAGCACCCATTCGGCCAGCAGCAGCACCGGCAGCTCCACGCCGGACATCAGTGCCAATGCGAATACCACCGCCAACAGCAGCAACAGCAGCAGCAGCAACAACAACAACAACAACACAGCGAACAACAACAGCAGCAGCAGCAACTCGGCCAAAATGCCCAGCTCGATGACGGACATGTTTGCCAGCCTGCACGAGATGCTGCAGGAATATCACGGCGAACTGGCCCAGACCGGCTCCCCATCGATACTGTGCAGCGCCCTGCCCAACCATTGGCGCTCCAACAAGTCGCTGCCGGGCGCATTCAAGGTGATCGCCCTGGACGATGTGCCCGACGGCACACTGGTGTCGATCAAGTGCGGCAACGATGAGAACTACTGCGGCGAGCTGCGCAACTGCACCACAACGATGAAGAACCAGGTGGCCAAGTTCAATGATCTGCGCTTCGTGGGCCGCTCCGGCAGGGGCAAATCCTTCACGCTGACCATCACAATTGCCACATACCCGGTGCAGATAGCCAGCTACAGCAAGGCCATCAAGGTGACGGTCGACGGGCCGCGGGAGCCAAGAAGTAAGCAAAGTGAGTTTTTTAGTTTCCATTACGTTTTCAGTTTCCAACTCCAAACCCAAACCCAAACCCAGCCCAACCCCCCCTTTCATTTGGAATCCTCAACGGATTCTTTTTTTTGTTTTGTAATATTTTAAAATCTTTTGCGATCCCCTGCGATCAGCTGCGAATATCCTTTGGGATTTTATTATTATTATTCTTTGGATTTTATTTAAATGCTTTGTTTTGCCATTCTATATCCTATATCCTTCCCCACCCCCTCCCACCACCGCTTCCCCTTGGAAAATTTTACAAACTTTACTTTTGGTTTTGTGTTTTTGCTTTACTGACTTTTTGCTTTGCTTTCTGCTCCTTCCAGGCTATGGCTATCCACATCCCGGCGCCTTTAACCCCTTCATGCTGAACCCCGCCTGGCTGGACGCCGCCTACATGACGTACGGCTATGCGGACTACTTCCGCCACCAGGCCGCTGCCCAGGCAGCCGTCCACCATCCGGCCCTGTCCAAGGCCTCGCCATCGAGCAGCTCCAGCATTGTGTCGCCCAGCGCCAGTGGCGCAGCTGCCGGTGGTGGTGTGGCCAGCGGCGGCAATGCCGCGGGACCCGCCGACTACCATCATGTGTCGCAGATAACGCCGCCACCGTCCGGGGCAGCAACGGCCGCTGGCCAACCGGCTGCCATGATGCCCTCGCCGCCAGGAGCCGCTCCGGCCGCAGCCTACGCCATGCCCCAGTTCCCGTTCAATCATGTTGCCGCCGCCGCCGCAGCAGCCGCCCAGCAGCAGCAGCAGCAGCAGCACCATGCCAAGTCCACACCACACGCCTTCCATCCGTATAACTTTGCGGCCGCCGCGGGTCTGCGCGCGCGCAATGCGGCAGCGGCTGTCCTGCACCATGGCGGCGACGCCACCGGCATCAGTCACATCAGTCCGGCCTCGTCGCGCCCCTCCAGCTCCTCGCCGACGCAGCAGCACGTTCTGCTCAAGCTGAACACCTCGATCGAGACGAGCTCGATCCACGAGCAGTCCGCCTCCGATGCCGACTCCGATGACGAGCAGATCGATGTGGTGAAGTCCGAGTACGACCTGGACAAGTCGATCGACTCCAGCCGCAGCTCTCCGCTCGCCCAGCACATCTCCATCTCCGTGCCCCTTCGCATGCGCTGCGACCTCAAGGCGCCCTCCGCCCTGAAGCCGCTCTTCCACGAGAGTGCGACGGCGGCTGCCACAACACGACAGGCATCGCCGGAGACGACGCTGCCGGCGGCCACCAAGCTGAAGAATGCCGCTGTCCAGCAGAAGACCGTGTGGCGGCCCTACTAAGTGGTGGCAGGCTGGCAGGCAGGCAGGCAGTAGGAAGGTGGATCAGCATCAGGATCCCCCGACAAAAGTGATACGAACATGTGACTGTTTGCGGAATTGGCAAAGCGGAGTGGAGTGAAGTGGAGTGGAGTGGAGTGGCAGCAAGGCAGCAAGGGGAACGGTGAAGAGGCAGCGCAGAGCGGCAAGCAAAAAAAAAAAAAATAAATTGTGATATAGTGATGTAAGTTAGAGCACGCCCACAGCCCACAGCCCACAGCAGTCAACGGCAGGCATCCGGCGGGCAAACGGAGAGGAAAGCGGAAAAGCGGAAAAGCGGAAACCAGTAGCCAGGATCACAGACAGCAGATGGAAAGTTGGCGCATCGAGCTCCGACGTTGTTTTATGCTCGATTCATAAAATCGTAGCCCGAGTTCGTGAACCAACCGACTGGCAGACAACTGGCGTTGCCACAACCCAAAAATAAACAACAACAAAGCAAAGCAAAGCAAAGAATTTCCCCGAGATCTTGCAGCGGCAAGATCTTGAACGAAACAGCAAAACAAAAACTGAAACCTAACGAAAACCAAAACCCAAAGCCGAAAAAAAATGCAAAGAAACGTTTAAAAAGTAACTTAGCGATAGGGAAAAAAAAAACTTTAGTTCAATTCCTAACGACTCCCCCCCCCAGCCCCCAAAAGAATAACATTTATTATATGTAAATTATATATTTTTATTTTCACTTTATACACCCCCTCCCCCACACACACACTCCCTGCCTGACCCCTGCTAGCCCCACCACAAAAAATATTGTACATAGATATAGAAGACATTTATTTTATTTTTTTTTTTTTGAGGAAACATCTATTTTTTTTTGTGGATAATTCGAATTTAGCTATTGGATAATTCTTAAGTTTATCTAGTGATGTAAGTGAACAGAATTTTTTTGTCTAGACTTAAGTTTTAGCGCGAGAAAAAATGAAAAATCTAACACAAACGAATTTCCCCCAAAAGCAAATAAAAACAAAACAAAAAAAAACAATACAAAAATCACACACAAAAATTATTTACAAAAAAAACATTTGGCTGACTTTTTCATTATTAATTAATTTTCAGCAATGGTTCTTAAATATTTCAGCGCAAATTTCTTACGAATTTTCAGAGGCAAGCAAATAATATGTTGAAAAGTTGTCACACTTTATGTGGCTTCTATTTTCACAATATAAATTATTTCGGTTCGCATTTTTGCAGCAATGAAATCCTTATTTCCTGCCTTATTTCCTATCCTTATTTTATTCTGATTTAAATTTGGTTTGAAAGAATTATTAGCTTGCTACATAAAATATGGAATACTTTTATTTTGTTAATGTCTGATTCACAGCGCTCCTTTTAGTACATAATTCTATTTGGCAAATAATAATGGCAATAATATCTAGCTACTGTTTGCTGATAATATTCCAAAGGTTTCTTCAAACAAATTTATATATTTTCGTTCTTTAATAGGAGGCTTTCTCCTTACTCCGCTTACACGTTGGATATTCTGATATTTCTTTTGTTTGAATTGAATATTTAACATAAAGAGAGCCTGCAACAAATGTTAGTTCCTCTTATAAATAAATATGCAGAAGAGTTTCGTACCCCACATAAATTTGTTGTACATTTGTGGAGCGTTTCAATATAATTTTAGTCATGTATTAACTGCATTTAGATCAGTTCTTTGTTGCTCTGTCGTCATTATTTATTGCTTATATATCTCTGACTACAATCGCCTGCCTAAACCACACTGAAAGTGTATTTAATTTATTTGCCCTAAACCTTTCCCATTAGCAAGCCAAAAATTGTCTTATCACAGGCAGAAAAATAGATTAAAAGTGGTCAGGAATTGGCCACAAATTGGGAATTTACTCAATTGAATTATTAAGCAGAACTACTTGATGACAGCAGCTACGTTGGCGGGAATACCGCTCGATCGAAAGATCACTTCACTTGGACTTATCTGCTGAGTGTCCGCCACTTATTGATAGCAAACCCAACTATTGTGTGTGTCTGTGGGGAAACTCCCCGAAAAAAAAAAACAGCCAGCGAATTGCGCCCCCAGGCACGTTCCACGAGAGATCTTTGTTAAGCGAATCGATTTGATTATCTGTCCAAAAATACAACCTGGTGTCCGGGGGTGGCCCAGATAAGGCAGCAGCAGCGTCAGAGTTTGTCCAACTGTCGCGGGGGGGCGGGGGCAGGGGCAGGGAACCTCTTCGGCTGGTGGTCCTGCCTATGTGCGACGAAGGTCATGCGAGGGTAACCGCAGGACGCGGCCTGCAGCAAACCAAATTGATGGCAATTAATGCGGATTATTAGTGATTATGGGTAGTGGTGCCAGGGCCGGTCGCAGCGTGTGTCAATGCCTGAGTTGAGTACTCACGTACCTTTCGACAATTGTCGCATTAATGGGCCCAGTTTTGGCCAACATTTTGGTATGTGTCGACACTGGGCACCAACAGTGCGACACGGACTCCATGGCGGCCCAACCGCAGTGCGATTTGTCGGGGCCGTTAACCGCACAGTCGACGGCAAACGGCATCTTGCACGCCTCATTAGTGGATCGCTGGCCAAGGTGTTGGCCAAAGAATGGTCGAGTTGTCTGCTCAAGGCCGCTTGGACACATGGCCATGTCTGACCTTCACATTGGTCGATTGGTCAAGGCAACTCACAAAACTGCACTGCAATTTTAACGCTCAATTTGGTGACAAGGTAATGCAGGGGGGGGGGCTTCTCAATGGCCAGACGCTGTGGGTGAGGAGTTTGTGAGGCGGAAAGAACTCTGTCGTAGATTAGGAAACGCAATGGAAAGTATTCAATTGGGAACTACACATATTTGAGGTTTATTGATAGCCAGAGGTAGGTTGGAACCTTATTAGGTTTGAGGTCCATGTGGCCATGGAAAGAATAATATATTTCGGCTTTCTTTTTGTTTATAGTAAGCAGCGCATGCGAATGCTTTATTTATGAGGAATTAGTGCACATTTATCAAAGCAAATTAAGTTAAAAGCAGAACAGAAAATTGGACTTGCTGATGCTAAATTTTTTGGAGTGTGCTCTGTGCTAAGGAAACACTTCCCCCCCCATCCCTAAAACCGCTCGAACTGTATGTGAAAATGCCAAGGACTCTTCTCGCTGTTGCTGGAGTGCCTCGCGCAATAGGAACTGGAATGCTGAGGACTTTAGCGCCTGCTGAACCGAATCGAAATGTGCAATCGAACTGCTAAAAATGTCGAATATTTTAGGGGGCAGAGGCACCCATAATGATACCAAAAAAAAAAATACAATTGAGCCCACCAAATCGCTGCTGGGCGCCGCACTGCACCACAGCAGCCCCTCCTGCCGCCCAGCCCATTCTTTGCCACTTGCATTTTCGCATTTAATCAATGGAAAATTTACATTTTCACAATGTGTTTTACACTTTTCTGCATGTTTTTGCCCCGGCTACGAGTTGGTTGTTGTATTTTTTACCCGGTTTCTGGTTGCGCGGGTGGGGGTCGCTGTTTTTTCTTCACATTTTGTTGCTGTTGTTGCGCGGGGGCGTGGTGGTGTGTGGGGGTGGCGCCTCTTTTGTGAAATGCGGCGCGTGGAAAACTATTTGACTATTTGTTGTTCTTGCTTCATTTGCTTGCTGCTGCTGGTGCTGCTGCTGCTGGTGCTGCTGCTGTTGTTGCCACCGACTGAGGTTGACTGTGTGATTGTTGGCGGTTTGGGGCATGCAACGGGCCAAAGCCAAAAAATGCCTACGCCGGCACACGCACACACACACACACACACAGATACACTCGATACAGATACAAAGATATACAAAACCGCGCAGCGCCGCGGAACGGAAAACGAATCGAAAACGCAACGAAACAACACAAAAAAAAAAATAAACAACAAGAAAACAAGTCAAAAAAATCAGTTCCAAAGACTCAAACAATGGATACCCTTTATGCCATTATTATATGAAGAAATATACGAGAGAGAAGGTGGTGCAGTGCTCTCTTGGGTTATTTTTGGATGCAGAAACATGCTGCTCAGTAGGAGCTCTTCCATTGCCATTTTTCAAAAGCAAATCATTTCAGCCGATAAATGTATGCATTTTCTGCACGATTGATTACCTGCTATAAGCGTTTTTATATTAATATTATTTTTAAATAATTTTTTAAGCGAAGGAAAGTTTACAATTTGAAGGCGTTTGCTCGGCTGCATCATGCCCCCCCGTTCGTTAATGCCAGGGTATGGCAAACAGTCGGCGGGAGAAGCAGAAGTACAAGCAGCTGAGGAGAGGTGCAGAATGAGACGCGCAGCCACAGCCAATGTGGGCAGCAGCGGGAGAGTGGAAGGTGGCGCAGCGGAGCAGAGCGAAATGAGCCGAAAATATAAAAATGGCCAATGCAAATGGAAAATGGTTGGCCAGAAATTACAAAGAGCCATGTGTGCGTGTGTGTGTGTGTGGGTGAAAGATCTGAATGGAGCCGCCTCCCCTTACCACTGCCCTGTACTGGTACGCGCACCGCCCCCAACAATCTGGCCGCCCCTCCAATTTCCCCGAACAAATTACAAACGAAATGAGCGGCGTTTCGATTCTGTTTTTTTTTTGATTTTTCTTTTATAGGAATATACTCTGGCTGGAGGGTATTCTAGCTAATTTAGACGCTTGGGATTGAACATAACAAATATATTTCTTCATCTGTGCTAATTTTGTAGACTGCGAGAGTTTTTTTGGGCTAAGAAAAAATTTCTTTTCGGCCGAAACGCGGAACAGAACAGCAGCTGGAAGGGCGGTAAGCTCGGCATTGAAGCTACAATCGAGAAATTATATTCCAATGTGTCAATATTTATTGTGCCTGCCCCTGAAAGAGATTCTTTTTTGTGCAGTATATAAAATAAAAAACCAAATGCAAATGAGAGACGAAACAAATATGAAGATTAAAGATTTATGTGCTGAATAAATTGATAAAAATAGGCAAAAGCTGCTGATTTATTAGAGTAGTTCGTGCAGATGAACTGCATCTCAACTGTGGGCCATCAAATAAATAAACTAAAATGGTTCTTGGAGCATCAATGAACCAGCAAGGGCATCAAATGCTTCGCTTGCCACAGTTGGCCTGCCAGCCCTGTTTCCCCTTTCTTTTTTTCTGTTTTTTTCTGTTTTTTTTTTTTTGGTGATTTTTGCCAATTAGGTGCTAATGAAATGCGTTGGTAACGCTGATTGCATGTGGCCAAAAGGCTGTCCCCTGGAGGTGGTTGTGTCGGCCGGGAAGGGTGCGGGGGTGGGAGCTGCCGAAGTGCTGTCCGCAAAATCTAAAATGTCACGCGACCAAAGTCAATTGTCTGAGCAAACTTTAGTGGCCCTTTAAGCATTACATTTTAAATGCCAATGTTAGTTGTCACCCCCGTCCAGCCGTCCATCTGCTGCACGAAAGATGGCTGTGAAAGGTGTGTGTGTGTGTGTGTGTGTGTGCCCCACTGGGCGGGGCATTGGAGCGGGCCAACACCCAACCACCCTTCTTTGGGGGCTTTCGCGGTTAGCCGTTGTTAGGTCTGTCGGCCAGACTTCTTCCTGGTCTTCTGCCCGCAGTCTCCCCTCAGCCGCCACAGTGGCGGGCAAATGCTCTTCTAATGCTCTTAAAATGGAAGGAATTGGCGGAGAATAAGACTGAAAAAACCAAATGAAATTAATTCGAGCAGAGAGAGAGAGAGAGAGAGGGAGAGAGCACCAGCCAATTAGTCACTGGTGCGACATAATCCCCAATAGCTGAGATTTCCTCAACTAAATCCGCAGTTAATTCCCTAGAGCAAAAGGAGGGTCTGTCTTACCACGAAAAACAATACCATATCGATGGAGCTGGAGCAGCACTATGCAACACATATATTCCCACATTTAATTTAATTTCTTATTTACGCTGCGATTTTTAAGCTGCAATTTTTAAGCTGCGATTTTTAAGCTGCAATTTTTAACTGCAATTTTTAAGCTGCAATTTTTACGCTGCGATTTTTTAACTCC